TGTAGACCAGGCTGGCCTCAAACTCATAGAGATCTGCCTGCCTCTGCCTCCTGAGTGCTGGATTAAATGAATGTGCCACCACCACCACCTGGCTAATATCTTTATTACAGTTACTTACTTGGACATAAGGAATGTGTCCCCATGCATGAGTAGAGGTCACAGGACAACTCGAAGCACTGAACAGATAGCATGACCCTGAAATGCATTGGGCGGGGCTGGCCAGGAGCAATGGTAGGAATGGGAAATCCGAGGCCCCTTAGCTTCTGTTTTCCCTTCCTCCAGTTCTAGGGACTGAACTCAGGTTGTCAGGCTTGGAGGCATGGGCCATGTTATCATGTTATATTTTTTGAGACAAAGTGTCTTGTATTCCAGGCTAGTCTCTATTTTTTTTTTCATAACCAGGGAGGATGGCCTTGAAGTCCTGATCCTGCTGCCTCCACCTTTCGAGCACCAAGGATTCTGTGTGTGTGTGCCCAGCACCAGCTTTTGTAAAGTCCCGGGGAGGAACCCGTGGCTTCATGTGCACTAGGCTAGCAGTCTACAAACTGAGCCCCATTGCCCATTCCAGCCAGGAGATCTTAAAGAACAGTTTTTACCGCCTGCTGCCATTTGGATGTTTGAAATTTCTAAGGAGCTGTGGCGACTCAAGGCTTGGTCTTGGGAAGACATAGTAATTAAAGCATAAGAATAGCTCATGGAATTTCACATGGAAAAATGTCTCCAGTGCGGTCGTTATGACATGGGTTTGGATATGCCACCTCATTCCACGAGACAGAGTTGGGAGGAAATGACTTAGTCATTGGGGAGGTGGAAACAAGTCCCAAGAAAACGTAAACCACATGCTTGGGAGGGCACCTCGGAAGACGCCACAATCACCTCCAGCCAAACATGTTTCTACAGTGGTGTGTTATTCACCCCCACTAGAGAGAAGAGACACGGGATGAGTACTTTTCAGTCAATGAATTTCAGATTGTACATTTTCCTGAGTCTTTGGCTTTCCTGGTTATTCAGGCTGGAAAAAAAAAAACACTTTAAGGGGAGTGGCTTCTAGTTGCTTATTATGATAAACCAGATGTTAAGGTACCCGACGATCCTTGTCCCCTGGAATGCCCCACCCTTGCGTAATTCCCTCCCCTTGCATGTAGTGGGGCCCTGTGACTTGTTTTAGAACATGGGAAACATCTGGAATTTCACTCCGCTATGACATTATGCAAGACACAGTCTAGAGGCTTTGTTTCTCTGATCGCTTTGAGAACTCTACCACGCTACATTGAAACGAGACAGAAGATGACAGCACACGGAGTTTGGGAGCACACCTCTCTGTCACCAAGTGCAGAAGAGGCTCGGTGAGAAGTTCATTGCGGGCCCAGAGGACCTGGCCAAGCTGTAGCGGGACACCCTAGCAACACAGCCTTGCAATGATCCGTTCTATCTCACTGAATACTAAATATACTTGCCTCAGCCCACTTGTCCTTCTGACCTTTTCTTGCACTGGGTTTACCTCTCTGAGAGTGTGAAAACTATTGGTTGTTTTCAACATCTGGGTATATTATGGCACACACTCAAGGACACTCTTTCCCGTCGGAGAGAGCGGCCAGGCCACACCATCAGAGAAGAGCCACACGTGGGCAACAGTGGTTTCTCCTTCTGCCCACAAATGGAGTCATCTCGAGAGTCTTAGCAGCAGATGGTTCTCAAGCCTGTCCTCAGAATGGAGCACAGCCTAAAACTTGGCTCAAAAATCCTACATGACTGTGATAATCCTGTAGATTAAGACATTGGGGGGGGTATGCTTGTAACAGGATGTTGGCACTAAACGTATGCATACTATTGGAACTACAAATTCCTTTTCTAGAAGCCTATTCAAGAATATAGCTAGATAAGTGTCCCAAAATGTAAAGCCAGGGTGTGTGTTGCAGCAGTGTTCCTAAGAACAAGAAATCAGAGAACAGATTGATCAAAGCTCCAGGAGGTTAAATAAATGTAGAATTATCCAAACGGCAAAAGCCAGGTCGCCATTTAAAACTAGGCTGTCTGTGAATTTATAATTTTTGGTCACTGGACTGTGTATGCAAGAGTAAAAAGATAACATACAAGAAAATATTTAATGTCCCCATATCCATATATTGTGTTTACATGTGTGTCTGAAATTTAAGTACACAGTGGTTAAACATCAATAAAACTGATACGTGACTAAGTGTTGGTATCGGAGTCACAATCCCCTGTCTTCCATTTTGAATGTTCATTTTCTGGCAGTATCTTCTGTGTTTCTAGAACGTTTGCTTGTGACTTTTGAAATGTAATAAGTTCAGAATGTGGGCTTATTGCTGATGTCAGTTTTAAATGGTGTTGACTGCTTCTAACTTCTGATCTCCAGGTAGGCGGGGTGTTGGGAATGGTCCAGAGATCTGTATGCATTTCTGGCTGACATTGAGAAAGCCATCTTGGCATATCAGCTCTGCCTCCTCCCACTTCAGCCCCTCTGAGAGTTTGCTACAAGAGCGGGGTTCCAGCTGACACCCCCTTTTCTGCCCAAGCTCATTCCACTGACTCATATGTCAACAACCATGCTACTTTCAAAAGATGTATTTTTACCACAACAGTATGTTCTTAGCAGTCCCCAAATGCTATACAGCAGGTCCAAACTGTGTCACCCAGCCATGCCTCTGTGCTGGATGCCAGTGCAGCAAGATTTTTTGTTTCACTATCTCTGGACCGCTGGCCCACAAACAATGACCTGAAGACTTATTATTAATTATGAAAGCTTGGCCTTAGCTTAGATGTTTCCCCAACTGGCTCTTCTAACTTAACTAACCCATATTTTTTCTCTATGTTCTGCCATGTGGCTCAGTTACTTCTTCTAAGTACAGCACATCTGACTTTATCCAAGTCTGTTGGTGAAATCTTGAGCCTAGATTCCTCTTCCTGTTTTTTTTTTTTTTTTCTCTTTCTGTCTGGCTATTGGCAGTACAACTTTTTATTACACCAATCACAGCAATAGGTCTTCACATAGTTTACAAATACCCCACAACAACTAGTGACACAGACAACTTTTTTGTCTAGGTGGCCAAGGAGTAGAAGACTGGGAAAATTCAACCACAAACCCTAAAAATACAGATCACAGCCGTCAAACTTTTCTTTGAAAAAAAAAATACAAAATAGCATTTGTTGCCTATTTTAAATATTCATTTGGAAAATGAAATGTGCTGTTTATTTGCCTTGTTTTCTTCTTCTTTTAGGTTCCTCCTGGAGTGAAAGGCACAGACAGTGTGGGAGAGAAGGGTGGATGCCCACGGAGGCTCATAGTCTCCAGCTAGTGGCACTATTTGGGGAATCTGGGGTAGCTGGTAGAAGCAGTAGAGATGGACTTTTGAGGGTGGTTCCTGGCCCCTGGTTCTGGCCCCTGGCTCTGGTCACTCTCTGCTTCCTGTCCACTACGATGTGAACAGCTGCCGCATCGCTCCCACTGCCCAATCGGAGCTGCTCTGAAACCATGAGCTAAAAGAAATACTTCCTCCCCTTTGACTGCTCCTGTCAGGTCTTTTCTCGCAGTGCTGCAGGTGCAACTAACACAGTGAGGATGACAAGGACGTGCTCAGTGAAGAAATCTGAGAATTTTCACATCCAAACCCTCCTACAGCCTCCAGCCAGTTCCTCATCCATACACTGGATTCATATGGCCAAAGGCCATTCATTTCCCCTAAATAACATGAGGTAGCTTACCCCAGCTGAGGCTTCTCTCCTGAGGAGCCAAGTTGATGCCCAAGACAGACGATATAAGACCCTGGGGATTCAGGACGGCTCCTTACCTACAGTAACAGCAGCGGCCATCGCACCAGCACCTGGCAGCTCCCTGGGTCAGCTACTTTTCTCATCGCCAGGCCAACATACCTGAGTAAACAACCCGAAGGAGGAAAGAGCTCTTTCTGGCTCACAGTTTCAGAAATTTCTGAGGGCATGGTGGAACAGAGTCATCTATACTGTGGTGGATCAGAAGCAAAGGGAAAGGAATAAGCTGGAACATGGTATAGACCCTAAGTATGACTCAGAAGCAAAGTGAAAGGGGATGGACCAGGCCAAAGCATAGTCCTCAAGGACCTACCCTGGAACTAGAGTTACAGGTGGTTGTAAGCCTCCCAACCCGAATTGAACTCAGGTTCTCTGGAAGAGCATCAAGCACTCTTAACTGCCCAGGTATGCCATTTTTTAAACTATGCTATCAGCTATGAATCAAAGAGTTGATATATTTATTAGGTCAGGAACACACACACACACACACACACACACACACACACACACACACCGCCAACTAACCATCTCTGCAAGTGTCATGACTGGCATAGACGTGCCTTGACAATCTCCTGGGTGTGTCTCAGTCTAATCAATTAAGATCGACCACCTCTCTCTCCATCCCCCGTCTCCACAAGGTGAGTGTAAGAGTGACCCCTTCACCCACTGGAGGTTGAGACAGAAGCAGGATCTGAACTCAGAAGCTGGAGCTTCTCACAGCAACAGGGACATTTGGACCTTTGCTCTGCAGTGACATCCACCTTTGTTCTCAAGCTGCTCTCAAAGACTCTAGATCAGTGGTTCTCAACCTGCCGAACACTGCGACCCTTTAATATAGTTCTTCATGCTGAGGTGACTCCCCCAACTATAAAATTATTTTCATTGCTATTTCATAACTATAATTTTGCTACTATTATGAATCATCATATAAATATCTATGCTTTTTCATGGTCTTAGGTGACCCCTGAGAAAGGATCATTGACCCCCCCAAGGAGTCTCGATCCACAGGTTGAGAACTTCTGTTCTAGAGTATCCCTTCACATAAGACACACAGACACTCGACGCCTCTAGAGAGCCAGTCCTCATTGGGTCTCTGTGTCAAGACACACCCGATGATTATGTTGACTCCTGAGTTGGCTTCTCAGAGTCCAGAACTCAGAGTAAAGGAAGGAGTGGAAGACATTCTTTTGCTGTTCTATTTTATTTCAGGTTATCAAGCAGCCAGCATCAGTCTTTGGTTCCCTTTTCCCCTCACCACAGCTTTCTCAAGTGCCCCTTGCCCGGATTGCTCCCTGAGTCAAGCCCACCTTTCCCTCCTCAGCACCCCTCAAAGCTCGCTGGCTCTGAGGCCTATTCTTTTTTGATTCCTTCCTACTGTCCATGACCTTGTTTATGGTTATCACTCCCACTGCTGAGTTCTCAGAACTTATTGGTATTAACTCAGGTGGTGTCTGTGACAGCCCTAGAAGGAAGAAGAGCCACTCCGATTCTTCAGAGGACTATTTCTGTAGACGAGACTTCATTTACATTTTAAAGTCTGCTGCATGAAGTGTAGGAGGGGTCACCTATGCCATGACACGCGTGTGAAGGTCAGAGAACAATGTCATATTGTTGGTTCCTTCTGCTTCTCCGTGGCTTCAGGGAGGGAACTCAGGTTGCGAGGCTGAGCAGCAAATGCCTTCACCTAGCAAACCATCTTGCCAGCCTGTTGCACTTATTTGAATAAAACACTTGTAGTTTCACGGAACTGATTCTAGAAGTGTTTCAAAACTGTGGAGGAGAACAGGGACTGAGCCTAGCTACTGCAGGGGTCCTCTAGTGGTCAGCACCACAGGGCAACGCAGACCACACCCATCCTCTCCAGATGCTCTCCCAGAATTCCCACATGTGGTTAGGGTGCAGGGAATTTCAAGACCTGGGCTCAGACTCACTCTGAGAGATTGGCTGGTTCTTGTCCTAAAGCAGGACCCTGTTTACTCACCACTGTTTACAGCCCCAGATCCAGCTTCTCTGGAGTGTCAAAAGTGTGTTGCTGACGGGCTACGGAGGGCTGAATGGACGGACGGGGAACCGAGAAGTATTAAGGATCACTTAAACAGTCCAGTGTTCCTATACCACAAACAATGGATTTACTTGGTCTTATATCCAAGAACAAATGCCAAAAGAAGAAAGTGAACCTGGGCATCCAACCTAACAGAAGAAAATAGAATTGGATGGATTTGGGGAAAGAAGAAATTGATTTTGAGTGGAAAACTACAGTGGTGGGGGGACTTGGAGGAGAAAGGGGGCGTGGTCTTGAAACAACTTACCAGAAGCTCCCTGGGCCTGGGGAGTAAACTGAAGGCAACAAAGCAGTTCGGAAGGTCAGATGCTCCCCTCGGTACCAGGAAGTGACGCGAGGAGGAAGTGGCTAGCAAGCAGAAGATGATCATCAACAGAGGAACAGTGATGACGGTCATGATGGCCGCCGCATGTAGACAGCACCGTTCCGGGCGGCATTCTCTCTGCTTTTTTTTTCTTTATAATGCAACTCTGTGAATTGGATGTCATATGATACATCACCACTTTACAGACAATCAAGCCAGGAAGTGGAGCTTCTAAGTAACTTCTCCAAGGCCATACATCTTGGAAGAGGCAAAGCTGAGTCGGAACCCAGACAGTTCATTCCGTCCCTACCATCCACAGTTCGCATGGACCACCTCCCCTACAGTTTTGATTGCTCCAGGGCAGAGGCCCTGACAAATAAATCAACCATCTCTATCTAGGCTTGTCTGTTTTGGTCATGAGAAAGTAATCTCTCCCACTCCTCCCAGACTTCATTCCCTCTGAGGTTGCCCAGAGTAGAAATTCTGGAGTCATACCTCCCCATCTTGCTAAGAGCTGGCTGAGAATAGACAGAACCAGAGGAGACCCTTCGGGATAGAAAACAGCTCAGCTTTCCAAAAACTAAACAAAGGCGGTGGCGGGCGGGGGGGGGGGGGGGGGGAAGGTAGTGT